CCTCGCCTCCGCGTAGGAACATGAGGTGGAAAAGATGTTTACGCTCAAGCCGGGCCGCCTGCCCCAGGCTGACGTCAAGAACATCATCTTCTTCGTCAGGCCCAAGCTCGAGCTGATGGACATCATTACGGACAACGTGCTCAGGTACAGCGGGGGAAAGCGGCGGCGGTTTTTCGTGGGTCTCCTGGGGAGCCGGGCAGGCTGTCGCCCAAGGAGGGGACAGGTTTGGCCTGAAACTGCCGTGTGGTGCGTCACGTCTGGGCTCAAAAGGAGGAACTACGTGCAGACACCAAAACTGCACCGTGGCCACTCTCTGGGCTCAAGAAGAAGGGGGGGGTGTTCACTTTGGCTGGCAGTGCAGAGGGGAGCATTCCTCATTAAGATGCACGTTCCTTCTAATTAGCTGGAATGAGTCACGCTTTGATTGGCCCTCCTTTTGAGAACTGCAGGAAAACCAAGTCGCCTTGCCCTGGTTTCAGACTTGTGGTCTGGACACTTGTCGCCGGGTAAAGAATGTTCTGAAATACAAAGTTAGGAAGGGAAGTCTGCAATAATAACCCAGTGCGGCGTTCCTGTTTCCCTCAAATTCCCCAGCCTGCGATCTGTGCTGGTTACCTGCACAGCTGAGTTACCGTTTGCTGTGCTCCTGCCTGTGACTCTTCCAGGGAAGACAGAGGCCGTTCTCCCCAGAGGGACTTCCACATCCTCTTTGTGCCGCGCCGCAGCCTGCTCTGCGAGCAGTGGCTGAAGGAGCAGGGCGTGCTGGGGTCCTTCATCCACCGAGAGCAGTACAGCCTGGACTTGATACCCTTCGATGGAGACCTGCTCTCCATGGAGTCTGAGAGCACATTCAAGGTAAGCGCTCGTCTCATCTTTGAGGAAAAACGCCGTGGTTTTGTGTTGGCTCTCAGAGGGTTCGTTGGTGACCCGCACAGCAGGAAAAGGCCTTGCAGAGCAAAAGCGGCTTTGTCCGAACCGAGCCTGAACTTCTGTTTCCTGACTAAATGGTGAAGGAATCATCACTACACTGAGCTGCGCCTCAGTTCCTCCAGCTTTAACTGCTGGCGTTACTTTCACAAATCAGGCATTCCTGCGGCTTAAAATACTTAGTCGTTACAAAGAGCCAGCACAGTTTGTGTCAATACGCAGCTGAAGAGCTGCGTACAGTGGTTAATACTGCGCGTTATGTTGCGCTGCGCTGAGAATTAACAGCTGTCACATACCGGCTGTGCATCCTATTTTCTCAGAATGCTGCATCTGGGGACAGAAAGGTTCGAGAGTTCCTTTGGCCATCTCTGCCGTATTAAGCATAGCTCAGAGGAGGCGTCAGGGCTTGCAGCAGCTTGTCAGCAGCTGTGATGAGGTGGTGTGCTCTCAGATTGGCCCGATTAGGGGAAGAGGCTCTTTGCAGTCCCTTTCTGGCTGTCTCACTCCATCGAACAGGGAGTAGCGTGTGGGGTTCAAAAATATTAGTGTGTGGTCTGATCAAATGATTTGATGTACAGATAAGGTCTGTATTTGCCAACAGCCACAGTTTTTTCCCCAGCCTATGTCTCCTCTGAACTGTTCACACAGACCACACTCTGCTGTGGAAGCAGCTGGGTGAGATCCACACCTTCTATCAGGAATCCTTCTTCTTGTTTAGGAATGTTACCTGGAGAGTGACCAGACAAGTCTGTACCATGCGGCAAAGGGGCTGATGACACTGCAGGCTCTCTACGGAACAATCCCGCAGATTTTTGGGAAGGGCGAGTGTGCCAGGGTAAGGCAAATGTCACTGCTTAAAAACTGCATCTTGTTCTTTGGAACTGCCGTAAATGCACCTGTGGGCTTTTTGAATCCAGGCACAGACCCTTCTTGTCATACTGGAACATTGGGATCGTGGCCATCAGGTCTTTGTGATCTCTGGCCAAAATAACAATCTTTGCTGTTCCATAAGTCTTCCTGTCAGGAGGATTTATCTGATTTCATGTGCCTTGCTCACAGGTACACTGCCTTTGTGTTTTCAGCAGTTCTTCTTTCCGTGGAGTTTTAATGCTTAGCTGCGCTGTTGGTATCAGAAGGACTGAATCAAGAGGGAAATGTGTAACCTACTGCTCGTGCCTTAGGTTCTTCCTCTCTCCCTATAACACCCTTTTTTTCTTCTCTCTGATCAACCTACAATTTAATGGTTATCTTTTGTAATGAGGGAGCAGCTTGAGATGAAACCAATGCTTTGGCCACAGTCGCTGTCTTGCTAAGCTGCAGAGAGCAGCAGAGTAGTAGTACTATTTTTTTTTTTTGTCTCGTCCTGCCCCCATCTGTCAGCCAGTTTGTACCTCTTGCCGTTCTCTTCCTTTACACAGGGCTGCGCCCCATACTTGCATGAGCGTGTGCTTGTAGGGCCTAGAAGTCAGACCCGTCTGTCGTGGCCCACACCATAACCAGAGCAACGTGATTTATTTTCAGCACGTGGCTAATATGATGATCAGGATGAAGCGCGAGTTCCCCGGAAGCCAGAACTCTATATTTCCCGTCTTTGATACCCTCTTGTTGCTGGACCGCAACGTTGATCTGCTGACGCCGTTAGCTACGCAGCTGACATACGAAGGGCTGATAGATGAAATCTATGGGATTCAGAACAGTGAGTACTGCTGGGCAAGCGGGGGGTCTCCAGCATGCTGGAGCAGGTTGCAGCGTCTCAGGTGGGTTTCTGCTTCACTACATGACAGTGACGTGGGCGCAGATCACCTGAATTGGGTGCAGGGATGGTTCAGTCCCAAGCTGCAGCCCATCAAGATCAGCTCTGGCTCTCTTTTTGCCTAGGAAGGGAGGTTGAGTACAGCACATGGTCATTGAATGGGAATATTTTGGATGTTGACTGGGTGCAGACAGGGTGACACAGAACAGGTAGTGTGGGAGCAGAGATGTTACTCTATGCCTTCACTCTCCACCCTGCCTGGCTCACGTGCCGTGCTGAGGAGTCGGGAACAGTTTGTGAAAGACCATCAAGAGTGCTCTCCTGCTCTTCAGGACATAGTAAGAAAAACTCCAGAGAGGCGTTTCTGGGTTTTAGTCCCTCCTGCTGTACTCAAGGCTGGCTGGAAGGCTGCCTCCAAACCCCCAAGGGGCAGCTAGCACTCGGGTTCTGACCACGTATGGTTGTATAGGTCTCTGGGTCCCTGGGAGACTCTCCTTAATTAACACACAGAAACGTCCAGACGACTAATTGCATATTAGCTTTGCTGCTGAGGGGACACGTTTCCACAGCCTGTTTATCTTAACTTCTGGTGGTGAAGTTCCAGTCCTTTTAAGGGTTATTTCTCTGCATTTGGTAGCTTATGTGAAACTCCCTCCTGAGAAGTTTGCCCCGAAGAAGCAGGGTGAGGGTGGGAAAGATCTCCCCACAGAACCCAAGAAGCTCCAGCTGAACTCTGCTGAAGAACTGTATGCTGAAATCCGAGACAAGAACTTCAATGCTGTGGGGTCAGTGCTGAGCAAGAAAGCCAAGATCATCTCAGCAGCCTTTGAGGTGAGACCTGTATCCGACTGTGCATCCCCTGGGCGTTCTTGTCGTCAGATAAGTCACAGTCTGCATTCAGCAGGGCTGTGACTGGCAGCTCAAGCTGTTGCCATGGAGTAATCTTCCAGCCAGAGAGAAACCAGGTAATCTTCAGAAACCCCTCCAGTTTGTTCCCCTGCCCTGGGATGAGATCAGCTCCACTTTGACTGTTCTGAGTAGGTGTTGGTCAAATCTCCTCTTAAGAATCCTGTGGCAATGCGGATCCTCTCTTACCTTCTCCCCACACCTCTGTTCTGGGGCTTTTCCTGTCCTCACTGTTAAAACCTTGTCTCAGAGCTAGCCTAAACCACATTTCTGCTATGTGAGCCCATAGTTCCCTTAATAGGAATTGCTTTCTTCAGTCTGCAGAAGAGTCAGATGCTGCTTCCCTCTGCAAGAGGCCAAAGGTTAATTTTAGCATACTGATCAACCCACTTTGCTGCTGCTGTTACCTCTTAACTGAAAAGTCCTTTTCCTTTTGTATTCCCTGAGGATGCAGAGAAAAGACTTTAAGAAATAAAACTCCAGATTGTACATTCATAGAGTATTATGGCTGGCATAAAAAACAATAGGAATGTGAAAAAGACTGTTGTCTTACAGGAAGTTTGACCTGTAAATTTATGCTCACATGTCACCTTAGACAAAGCTGGAGAGTGCTGTGGGGTGTGTTTGTGATTTTGTTTGAAAACATCCTGTTGATGATTCATAAAGAAACCGGGATCCCCATCTCTGCTTTCAGACTTCATGGTGGTTCTCAAGAGAACTTGGTACACTGTTCGATTCTATTTCCTTGTTTTTTCCTTTACCTCTTAAATTCTGCCACATTTAAGATGAGGTAGGGGTACCTTAACTGAAATACTGTGTGCTCAGCATCATCTCCTAGTAAACGTCTATTACTGCAGTATTAGTGCTGAAGGTGCTAAAGACGGATTATTCATAGTGGTTGTTAAAAAAAAAAAGAAAATTAAGAAATTGTCGGAGGTAATAGGTGATAATGAAACAGCCACATATTGGCAGCAGAGGACTTCTTAAATTGCAGGCTTGATCATTATCGCTCTCCTGCCTGTACTTGCCCATTTAAATCCTTCACATACGAGTCAAATTATTATTTTTATTCCAAGTTGCAGCAAGAGGCAAGTAGCCCAAACAGACCTCTGGACTGCTCTGAGAGCTGAAGTCTGCATTGTGCTTCATCAGATCCTTGCTCAAAACCTGGGACATTGTTACAGCCAGGTACAGTGACTGGTGGGCTTCTGCTTGAGAGGTACGCAGACCCTGCCAACCCAGTTCCTCAGCCCCTTTCACTGCTGCTCTGAGGGGAAATGTCCCCCATCTCTGGCTGCATTTGTGCAGCTAGCAAAGTAATTAATCTTTGCATGAAAAAGATAGTTGTGCTAGTAGGGAAACTGCGGAGCAGATAGCGACGGCTGAAGCCAGACAAAGGTGGAGAAAACACTGGTATAACGAAAAAAAAACCAGTCTAATGATCTTCTTGTGTTATGTCCTGCTTCTTCTAATGATCAAAGTGCTGTTACAGGTAATGCTATGACCTTAGTTTAAGCATTTAAAGTATTGTGTCTAAAAGGCTGCATATCTCTAACTATCTACTGTTGCAGTGAGTACAGTAAAAAACCTTTTCATGATAAAATTACCTAGTTGGTGTGTGGCCAATTAATCTGAACAAGACCTAACCTAAGCAACGGATTTCTTTAGGAAAGACACCATGCGAAAACCGTTGGAGAGATTAAGCAGTTTGTCTCACAGCTGCCACACATGCAGGCAGCAAGAAGTTCTCTAGCAAACCACACCTCCATTGCAGAACTCATCAAAGACATCACCAGTGAGTATTGGTTGAATAGTCTGTCTGACTTATTTAAATATAGCAAGATGCAAGACAACTTGATACACATCCTTCAGCTTGGCAAAAACTGGCTTTGCTCCAACCAGCACATCTCTGCTGAAATGTTAAATGTAGAAGATAAGCTGTCAGTTGCTATTGTATTGATTTTCATTCTTTTCCCAAAGCATCTGAAGATTTCTTTGATAATTTAACAGTGGAACAAGAGTTCATGTCTGGAATAGACACAGACAAGGTAAGTAGATAATGACAATTAGTGACTGTTATGTCTTCAAAAAAAACCCCAAACGTATTTCTCAGGGTTTTTTCCATTGGGGTTTTTTAGAGAGGAAACATCTGATCTAGATGATGTCTTTCTCCTTCCAGGGTCAAGGTTGTGAGCTCTCACACATGTCTCCTTGCACATTTGTGTTTTTTTTTTTCCCAAGTGACATGCATTGCTGAACGTACTTACTTGTACTGTGTGCTTTGGTGGGCTTCAGTTACTTGTCATTGTAACACAGGTCTACAGAGCTGGGGTGCTCTGACTTGTACAGGGGCACTGCGTGCTGTGAAGGATCAGTGAAAGATTCGAGGCTGTGAATCAGAGTTTTTTCAGTGCATCAGACAAAGTCTAGCTGTTGACTGTGGGATCGACATGCTGTAGAAAGATGCTAGGTGGAACCAGTGCTGGATCACTGTTTACAGGCGGTCTTGAGCTGCCTGGAGAGCAACTGCACCCTCTCTTACTATTTTGGAGATACTAGGCAAAACTAGATCTTTCTTTCCAGGTCTTCTAGGCACTTTAACAGCTCTTTAAATAACAGCCTACGGTTTGTTTTTTTTAATAGGTTAATAATTATATTGAAGACTGCATAGCTCAAAAACATCCATTAATCAAGATCTTACGTCTCGTTTGCTTGCAATCTGTATGCAATAGTGGACTGAAGCAGAAGGTTCTGGACCATTATAAAAGAGAGATTCTCCAGGTTGGGCTGTAACTTTTGGATCAATAAGTTTCTGAGAAAATCCATATCAAGCCTCAGCATTACAACACTTGCATTCTAGACAGACACATCTTACACATGGGTGGTGGTGATGTCCAGTGTGTACAGAGCACTGAGGCTTCTGTTTGGGCTGATAGCAGTGACTTATGAAGTGCCTATATGTGTTTTACAACATGTAGATACAGAGGTTGATATCATTGCAGTTTCTACTATTATGATTTAAACACTCTAAATGGGAAACACTCTAGAGAGATCTTAAGCAAAAAACTTTTAAATTAACATCTTTGCCTTTTTCTTTTTTTTTTAACTCTGGCTATGGATTATTGACATGTATTAAAGGTGAATTCTTTGTATTGCAGACTTATGGCTACGAACATGTATTGACCTTAAACAACTTAGAAAAGGCTGGACTCCTGAAACTTCAGACAAGTGGTAGGAATAACTACCCAACGATCAGGAAAACCTTGCGCCTATGGATGGATGATGTTAATGAACAGGTAAAAAAATTCCTCAGCAGTGAACATTACATCTAACAATACAGAATTATGTGCAACAGGAAAACCATCTCTTTTTTTTCTTTTTTTTTTTTATTTTTATTTCTCTGGTGCTCTTTGCAGCATGAAGTAGCGCTCACCTGCTGCTCACACTCTGCTCTCTCCTGCAGAACCCCAATGATATCTCCTATGTGTACAGTGGCTATGCTCCGCTGAGCGTACGCCTGGCACAGCTACTGGCTCGGCCAGGGTGGCGGAGCATAGAGGAGGTTTTAAAGATGCTGCCGGGTCCCCATTTTGAGGAGAGGCAGCAGTTACCTACTGGCCTTCAGAAAAAGCGTAAGTTTTGGTTTATTTTCCCATTTTTTTAAAGGGAGATAGATACATCTCGTTTAGGCTGGAATGAGGCAATCGGAAATCAGGGCTGGCAGTCTAGGTGTCTGTCTCATCTCCCTGTCCCACTGCAGTATTAGGTCTACCTAACCCATTTTTGACAGAGAGCTTTCTGGGCTCTTTAAAACTCATTCACATACTCGGCTGGTTATTAATGCACAGCACAGTGTGCATTGAAAATGCTATAGAGTTGTACATTCGTTTATCTTCCCATCAGAGTACTAAAATAAACCCTAACCTTACACTGTGCTTTTAGTAACATTACAAAGGAGGTCAGCATCACGCTCCTAGCATTAAGCCTGGGCAGGCAGAAGCACATCCTGTAAAGAGACCGCAGAGCTGGGAGCAGAGACTGTATTTTGGGGCCCCAGTCTGGTATTCCACCCAATAGGTTCCTCCTCTAATTCAGCTGCTATATTTATTTCAGTTTTAGGTCATTTTGAGTTTGACTGACAGTTGAGGGATAGGAGACATAAAAATAAAACTAAGAGAACCTGTAAATTTCTCTAAATACACAGGTCAACACGGTGAGAACCGAGTCACTCTGGTGTTCTTCCTGGGAGGTGTGACATATGCAGAAATAGCGGCACTGAGATTTCTGTCCCAAATGGAAGATGGAGGCACAGAGTACGTCATTGCCACTACAAAACTGATCAACGGAACAAGCTGGATCAAATCCTTGATGGAAAAACTGGAGCCTGCCCCTTTCTAGGATCTGTGGCAAGAGACAGTAAACATGCGAGTTCCCGTATGACACAGCCACATCAGCTTCTGGTCTTCTAGCATGGCTGCTTGAACGCCAGAGAAACACGACAGTGAAAGAAGCTCTATTAAGACCATCTCATGATGCAGTTACCCTCCTCCCTCTCTGCACTTGTGTTCCTACTGTTTGTGGAACTGCCTAGTAGACAAGCAGTGGTGAAAGGCACTAACAATGAAATAAACAATGGGAGAAAGAGAGAGCCTTGCTCGTGGTCTGAATTGACAAACAAGCACTTGGGGAGTGGGGATTTGCCATGGTCCTTCTGTTTGGCAAATTGCTTCTTTTGTTTCTTTCAGTTTAGTTTTAGTGGGGGATGCAATTACTTCTTTTTACCCTCCTAAGATGTTGAGGTGGCAGGATGTCTTCCATTCATAACATACCAGTATTGCCAGTCTGTCTTTCTGGTGTGTGATATAGTCCATCAGTGCCCTGGATCTCTTTCAGTCAGAGATCTGTACTCAGCTGCACCTCTGCTGTACCCACAGTTCAGTTTCCTGCTCATCTTTCTGAAAGCCAAGGAACTTGAGTTTCCCCCAGCTTCAGCACATTCACATCAACAGGGAACAGCAAGGGCCAGGCCACAGCAGCTGCATTTCTCACATCCTTGGAAGCTGATCGTACAATGGAAAGAGGACTGCTGTAAAGGGGAAGCGGTAACTTTTTTACTACACTTTTTAGGTTCAGAAACTTTATGGCTCTCAGAATAATGCACCTGCAGGACCTGCTTAGCCTGTGCTATACCATAATGAGCTGTCTGTTATGGTTAGTTGCCTGTAGGCCACACGCAGGTCCACTGCCCTGCACACTTTGGCCAAGGCATTCATTGTTTCCTGCAGCAACAGCTGAACCTTGAACTATCCAGATGCACATCAATAGCACTGACTATGAGGACAACCAGCTGCACCCAAATTACCAGGGAGATGCTTGAGCCTTTTACTTCAATAATCGCCCTCTGAAGGGATCGGTGTGAAGTGGCTTGTTTGTCCTGGGTACACGCACCTGACTCTGGATGGCAACTCCAGGGTATGAATGACATCAGTGTGTCAAGAGCTTATGTTTGAAGACACACAGACACTCCCCGCATAGGGACTCAGGCCAAAAATAGCTATGTCAGTGACCCAGTAAACAGCAGGTTTAAAACAGACACTTTTTTTCACACACACACACCACATTCAGTTTATAAATTGTGGTACTTGCTGCCACAAGCTGTTCTAGAGCTCAAAATTGCAAAACGGAATTTTCCATGGTCTTGGTGGCTGGGCCTTTGGTGTTGCTGAGCCAGTGTGTGCAAGAGGCAGCTTCTGGCTCCAGACGACTCAGCCTTGCTAAATGCTAGAGGCTGGGAAGGCAAACCCAGGTTGTTGCTTATGCCTGTGCAGTTGACTACCGACAGAGCCTGTGCTGCTGCAGCTCAGCCCTTGCTCCTAGCCACTGTCACTATACTCACTCACAGCCTTCAACAGCAACCACTGGTTGCTCTCTTTCACACTGCATTTCACTTTTAAATAGTTAAAAACTAAAACAAAACAAAAAAAAAAAAAAACCAAAACCCACCCCCACACCTTAAATCACCCCCTTAGCAAACATGTCTGCTCTTAGTTACCCTGCATAATATGTCCCAAAAAAACCCCTTCATTTTTCCAAGTTGTCATAGTTATGACTGTGGGTTTCGGTCTGTTGTGTTGTTCTGTAAGACTAAGTTCTGCCAAATCAGCCACTTCACAGAGCCCCTCTGTCTGTTTAACTCCAGTTGTCTTATTAGAATAAAATAAAAATGTATTTGATATCTTTTTTTTTTTTAAAGCATTTGCTTGCATGCTCGCTCTCTCTCTGCAGAATACAAAAATAAGTAAACTAAAACCCTGCACTGCGTTAGCTGTATCCTTGTACCTCTGCCACAGGATAACTGAATTACTTACGCTGAAATTATTTTTCTAACATCTGGATGGTTTTCTTTAAGCTTACGCACTAATTACATTCTGTTCTGCCACTTAACATACTACAGCAGAAATATTTGTGGGATTTTT